TGCTGGATAAAGAAATAGCTTATTGTGCCTTTTTAGATATTGACGGCGCCTTTGTCAGTAGCCCCGCGTCACTGCTGATTGAGGGCCTGACATATAAAAATGTTGAACCGACAACCATCAGATCGGTGAAGTCGATAATCACAAACAAAAAGGTAAAATTAGCGCTGTTTCAAACTTCGATTTTGGTTGCAACTACCAGCGGCTGTCCACAGGGATATGTTTTGACACCCCTTCTTTGGACTTTTTCGGTTATCAACTATTGTACATGATGGCAGACCTTAGCATTGACTCATTAGGTTATGCTGATGAATTTGTGATCATTGCAAAGGGGCTTTGGCCAAATTAATTTATCATTAATCATACAAAGAGCCCTAAAGACCATAAATAACTGGTGGAGGGCTAACAGTTTATCAGTTAATGCTGATAAAACTGTTATAATACCCTTTACCAAAAAGAGATGGTTGAACAAATTAGTTACAACAAAACTCAATATTAAAGAAGTAGAATTCTCCACTGAAGTTAAGCACTTGGCCGTAGTTTAAGGATGCCATAAGGCAAACATTGCTTTAGGTAAGTGTAGTCGTTTAGTAGGGACAACTGAGGCTTGCGTCCCAGCATAATCCTATGATTGAACAGCAGCATCGTGAGGCCAATTCTTAGCTATGCCTCCATTGTCTGGTGAAACAAGGTCAACCAAAAGACGACTGCGAACAGACTTAGTATACTGGAACAGCGCTTAATGCACTTCTATGCCTACTAACGCCCCTAGATTTATATCTAGATAAGGAGGCGAGGGCTAGTTTGTATAGGATTAACGTTCAGGGCGGTATGAGCTTGCTTTATTACAGAATGATATCCATGTTCGCTCAATTAATGAAACACCGGTTTTATGCATGATCTCAGAAATCATGCGTCCACTGTAAACTTTTAATAAAAAGTTTGTGGTTGAACTACACTTCAGTGAAGACTGGCTGAATAGTCAAGTCATATCTGAGGTTGATAGCCTCATATGGTGTACTGATGGGGCAAAAATGAGCCTCGACGTAAGTTTTGGAATTTATGGGGAATGCTCCAAATTCAAACTTAGTATGAATTAGAGTAGATTCACATCTATCTTCCAGGCGAAAAATTTTGCAATACTTCAGTGTGCGGAAATCAATTTGCAAAAGTACTACGTCAATCATATAATCTACGTAAACTCTGATAGTCAAGCAGCACTGCTAGCGCTGAGGTCAAATTTAATGAACTCGAAGCTAGTTAGAGACTACGTGAACGGTCTAAACGCCCTGAGATGTAACATCAAGGTCGTCTTAAGGTGAGTTCCGGGTCACGCGGGTATTGCAGGTAATGAACTTGCCGGTAAACTTGCACGGTAGTGTTCAAAGAGTACACAATTTGGACCTAAGCCATTTTGTGAAATCTCAAAAGCCTAGCCCGATTGACCCTTGAAACTTTTAATCACAATAAATCACTTAAGACCTGATTTGAAACACCGGACTTAATCCCGGCTTTTGATCGTAAGTTTGCTTCCGGAGCCCTAGGATTAAGTAAATATAAAATAAATTGAGAATTATAGCAAGAGCTCTAACTGGATACTGTTGTCTTAAAAAGTACACCTGGGACTAACGAGCTCAAGGATGTACTAGTTCTTCTCCCTAACAAAAGAGACACATCTGCATATGCTAATGGATTGCGCATAATTAACATTCATCTGGGAAACTGTATACTCTGCCCAGCTAAGCAACTCCTTCTACTCATTGAAGACGTGGGGATTAGCCGTTATCTATATAGCTATAGCAGCGATCCCTATAGATCATTTAGGTTGCAGTAATACTGGTCTCTTTTCCTAGACTTGCAAAGCTGCTCACGTATATAAAAATAGGCCAAATCAGAAAATGCATCAACGGATTTACAAAAATATTAAGAAATAGATATTGTCTTAAAATCATTAATATCATTAATATAATCTAGCAGTGTATTATTTAGCGATTTTGAAGACATTATATTGAAGAGAAATGTAATCGAGCAAACCGGGTTCGATTTCCGCCGGCACCACTTAAATTGCTTATCACAATTTTAAAAGCATTGTGAGTAAACTTATATATCTAATATATATATAAAGATTTTTGATAACAATTAACGTCCTCCTATACAATGTAGTAGGGTAAACATACAAGTATACATAATACAAGGTAGTTGAAAAGAAACTCACTATCTTTATTTGGTTATAAGACTTTAATTTTTTACATTAATTTGTCAAACCACTAAGTAAATAAAACTGTACAATGTGAGTTATACAAAATCATAAAACTTCAGAATTTAATATAAGCGCTTGCATTTTCTACCAGTTTTTGCAAACGTCTTGTAATACCTGCCGGACCTTTGTTGAAAGTGTTGAGGTATATTTGTTAGCACTTGCTGAATTCTTACTTCCAGTTCATCAAGAGTGCGAGGTTTTGAGCGATAGACTTAATCATTTGCCCAACCCCACAGGAAAAAATCGCAAGGCGTGAGGTCCGGACTACAAGCAGGGCATTCGTGTCACCCGCGACGAGTTAACCAATGCCCTGGGAAGCGGTTATCCAGCCATTGTCGGACATTTGATGCGAAATGTGGTGGAACCATTTTGCATAAATATTATATTTTCAATGTTATCAAACGTTGACAAAGCTGGCCAAACTCTTTTTTCGAGCATGTTGAGAAAGCGCTCTCCATTCATTGTTTCCCTCAAAAGAAAAGGGCCAATAACTTGATGTCATAACGTACCAAACTGTTACCTTGGAACGGTTTTGCATTTTCTGAGCAGTTATTTTGGGGTCAAACTCTGCCCAATAATGACAGTTATGACGGTTAACAAAGCCCCCAACGTGAAAAATTGCTTCGTCAGTCCAGATAATATTATCAAACAGTTCTGACCAATCTCCATGCCATCCAAGCATAATCTCTCCGTATTCCATCCGGCGATCACAGTCCTCTGGAGTTATTTCATGACAGTAATGTGGCTTCCAAGGACGAAAGCTGAGAGACTTAAGGGCTGTCATTACAGTGTAGCATGAAAGTCCACTCTCACGAGCTGCTTGATATATTGACTTGTAGGGGCTTTTGGGAACATTTCTCGAACAATATTAATATTTTCTCTGATCTTGATGTTGAAAGACGGCCGGTTCTTTTACTATCTGCCACTGATCCAGTTTTCATCAACTTTGAATGACAGTTTTAATGGTTTTTGGATCCAAAAGAGCATGAGGTCCGCTAAAATTCCGCCACCACCTTTGCACTTCCACTATTGATTGCCACACTTCGTAGCGAGAGGCAATTTGCGCTCGCTCTTGTATTGACAATCTCCCTTGAACCATTTTATGATGTTTACCTAATTCTCAATCAAGAAAGAAAAAAAATTATATAAGATTACATGAATTTGGCCGAAGCTGGTAAAGTTTACAACCAAATAAATATAGGGAGTTTCTTTTCAACCATCCAGTATGCACGTTTGTTATAGTATTTTAGCTTTTATACATCCCATTGCTGGTCACAATCGTACACAGCTCACAGCTACAGAGTCTTATTGGCGGAATCGACAACATGTTATTTTAAAATTTGGTGAAAAAGTATGTGAAGATTATTGTGATTCTACTATGGGAACATTTATTTTTACACGGAGAAAAATGAAGGAAAATTTTTCTGCCCATAGCCACGAGCTTAAGTTTGTCTCGATTTAAAATAGTATACATAACCTTATTTTTCAACTTTAAATATTTATGATGAATAATTTTAATAAAATGTGTGCGCGGATTATGTAATCCACGATTCCTTTGGTAAGATAATCTGGACGGTAAGATGTGATTAGGGTTTTTATTTTAATAAATTTTAAGTTCTTATACGATTTTTTTTAATAAAAATGGATGAACTCATTTAATTTAATTTAATTTCAATTATTCTCACTACTTTCTTTCAAAATAATCAAAATCTTTTAATTTTTTTAGTAGGATAAGGTTGACAAGCGAGCACACCGTCCACCTGATGGTAAGTGGGTACTGTGGCCCATAGACATCTACATATATCCGCGAAAAATGCAGATGAGTTGTTACCCGTGGAGCCTAAGATTTAATGCCTCCTTTCCAGTAAGAAGAGTCTCTGGTTCTCTACACTCACCATACAAAACAGCAGCGTTAAGCTGCTATTTTACACTGGCATTCTGTGAGTGTGTGGTCCTTCCCCGTTCGAGCTGACCCATTCGTGATACAACTATAATACTAACATAGCTGCAGCATGGCTCTCTACCACGTAGATCTTCTCAACACCCTTTCCTTCTCACATGTTATCTTAGACAACCTTTCTTATTACTTAATCTTTATTACCGCAGTGTAAATGCGGCGTAAGAAAATACACTACCTTACATCATCGCTTGCACATCATGTACAAAGACACAGTTTTCGGTCAACCTTTAATTGCCAGCATATTTATTAGAAATATCTGATGCCACTCCCACAGACCGTCGGTAAAGGGCAGCTTCATCAGTCCAACCGAAGAAGGACACCATTTTATTTACGCTTCATTAAGTTATTTATTTATTTTTATCAGAGGTTATATACGCATTCTCATTTTATTTATTAATCGAGGATAGGTTTATGTATTTAACACAGTTTCCTCTCACAATCTGCTGCTCTTGGTCTTTTGTCACCCATGACCCTTTTAATTAATTACATATGCTGCTATCTTACTCACGTAGTTGCCCAACTTTACGTTAAAAACGTATCCTTTAAACAAATAACAAATGGCAAACTCATGTTGTTGACGTTTTTATGAGTTTTAGCGATCTACTTTTTGATCTACAGTTTAAATACTCGTAGCTGGCAGGAAAGAAAAACTTTCAGAATAGTGACGTTGACTAATGTTTAGAGTAAAAAGGTTGTAATGTTCGTAATGGTTATAATAATAATAATAATCCCCGCATACCCCTTAGCAAGCGAAATTGGGCAGTCGTGCGGGCTCTTAACCCAATGCTGGTGACCTATTTGGAAGCCAGCCGGGACCTTTGCGAGACGGATTCAATTCTTTTTGGCGCCGCACTGGCAGTATGCCGTATTATTGGCGCCAAACTTCCCGTGGCTGGACGTGCTACTCAAAAAAGTAGCGCCATCCTAGCCTGGAGAAAAAGAATTGTGGACCGTATCGCAAAGGTAAGGGCCCTTATCGGCAGACTGACAAGCTTCAGGTCGGGTAATAATAGACCGAGGATTATGCGCACCGTTAGGATGGCGTTTGCTGGGACAAATATCAGTTTGTTCCAACCGGATATCACGCAAAAACCAACGGAGCGCATAGATGACCTGAAGCAAAAAATCGCTGCTTGGGGGAAGCGGATTCGACGATTTAGCGAGAGATCAAGGCGGTTCAACCAGAATCGTCTCTTTCAGAGTGATCAAAAGAGGCTCTATAAATCATTGGAGCGACCAGAGGTATGTGGAGCGGGCCCAGGACCGGATCAGGCTGACACTGTCGCATTTTGACGTGGCCTGTGGTCAGAGCCCGTAAACCACAGCGAGGGCCCTTGGATGGAAGTTGTGGCGAGCCAGAGTGCAAGTGTTACGCCTATGGACCCCGTCACCATAACGCCTGAAGACGTGGCTGAGGCGGTCCGTAGGGCCCCGAACTGGAAAAGTCCGGGGCTCGACGGGCTGCATCATTATTGGTTGAAGGGGTTCGTAGTGTGTCACGCTGTGCTCGCCCGACAGTTTCAAGAGGCTCTCGATCAGAAGTCGCTCCCGAGCCTCTTCACTACTGGGATCACTCATTTGGTTCCTAAAGATCAGGATACCACAGACCCGAGCAAATACCGCCCCATCACGTGTCTACCCACCATATATAAGACACTGACATCCATTTTGAGCGCGAGAATCACTCGTCACCTGGAGCTAAATCAGGTGATGTCACGCGCTCGAAATGGATGCCGGGGCGGTGGTCGTGGAACCAAGGAACCACTCCTCATTGACGCGGTCATTGGCAAAGTGGTGAAACGCAACCGTCGGAATTTCTCCGCCGCCTGGATAGACTACAGAAAGGCATTCGACTCGGTGCCCCATACATGGCTAAAGAGAGTCCTCCAGCTGTACAAAATTGACTGTACAGTTGGAGACTTCCTCGAGCAGTGTATAGGGCAATGGAGTACGATCCTTTGCTATCCTTAGAACCACATAAGGATAAGAAGGAGTATCTTCCAGGGCGATTCAATCTGGTTTTGCCTCACCCTGAACCCTCTCAGTACTTTACTGGAGGGCTCCGGGAGGGGATTTCAGCTTCGGAAAGGAAGTAAAAAGTGACCCACCTTTTCTATATGGATGTCCTCAAGTTATTCACCTCCAGTCGCTCCCATCTTATGGAATTTCCAAATATCACGTGTGAATTTAGCAGTACTATTGGAATGGAGCTGGGAACGGATAAGTGTGCGGTCCTCCATGTTGAAAGGGGAAGGGTTGCTAACTCTGAGGGCATAGACTTATCCTGCCTGCCAACTTAAGGACCCTTTCCGAGGCTGAAACATACCGATACCTGGGTATGTCACAGAACATCGGTATCGATGAGGCTGGTATGAAACAGTCAGTTTGCGACGTGTTTTATGCACGCTTGACCAAAGTGCTTAACAGCCTTTTGTCCGGTGTGAATAAAACACACGCATAAAACTGTTGGGTCATGCCTGTCCTCATGTATACCTTTGGCATACTCAGGTGGACCCAGACTGAACTTAACGCCCTGGATAGAAAAGTCCGCACTACCATGACGTCCCATAGGATGCATCATCCGAGATCGTCGGTAATGAGGCTGGCTGTACTTGCCGCGAAAGCATGGTGGACGTGGTTTTCTGAGCGCGCTCACCATGCATAATCGCGAAGTGTGTAGCCTCCGTGATTACTTCCTGGCGAGATCGGATGATCCATTCTATAATGACGTCATTTCTAGTGATAAAGGGCTTACTCCTCTATCCTTAGCCAACGAGCAATGGCAGGACCCAGCAGTGCTTAGCATTTCCGACCGGGAGACCGTATGGAAGGAGAAGGAGCTCCACGGGAGGTTCTACAAGGCTCTACATGAGCCTTTCGTAGACACAGTAGCCTCCCTCCACCGGGTACGCTTTGGTGATCTCTTCGGGGAAACCGAGGGTTTTGTCTGTGCAATACAGGATCAGGTTATTAAGACCAACAACTATCGGAGATACATCCTAAAGGATGGCACCGTGGACATCTGTCGAGCTTGTCGCCATCCCGGTGAGTCACTTAGGCATGTCATCTCCGGTTGTTCGGTGCTTTCTAACTCTGAGTACTTGCACAGGCACAACCTAGTAGCCAGAATTCTTCACCAGTAGCTCGCTCTGAAATACGCTCTCGTGGATCGGAAATTGCCGTATTACAAGTACTTGCCGGAAGCCGTGCTCAAAAATGATCGCGCCAGACTCTATTGGGACCGGGCCATCATCACAGACAGGACTATTCTTGCGAATAAGCCTGATATTGTGCTGATGGACCGGGCACAGTCAAGGATATTTTTGTCGACATTACCATTCCGTATGACGAGAACCTCGTGAAAGCCGAAACAGACAAGCAAACAAAATATCTGGACCTGGCTCACGAGGTGACCGACATGTGGGGTTGTCTGCCAACCGAAATTATTCCTGTAGTCGTCTCTGCAAACGGGCTAATCCCAGTCAGCCTCTCGGGTCATCTGAGGCGACTGGGACTACGTGGCGGACCGCTCCGGGCTCAAATGCAGAAGACGGTGCTCCTCGATACCGCCCGCATCGTCCGCCGGTTTCTTTCAATTTCCCCCTAACCCTCAGCCGTTTGGTCTCTTATTTGGTTGGGCTTTTATTTATTTATGTATTTTTATATTTATTTTATGTTATTGATATTTATGTATATTTATCTTTTCATTTTCATTTATAATTATATATTTATAGAACCCAACCAGATGAGAAAAGTATATAGATACCCCATAATAATAATGATGATGGCACAAAAAGGAACGCGCATAGGGACGCTGCCTTGGGGTCGCTGGGGCGCGTCTGGAGCTGGCGCTGGACGCGGCGGCATGCGGGCCGCCAGCCGAGCGCGAGGAGCTGTACGATCACCTAGCAGCCCTCCGCATCCATCATCCCCACGAGAAGGCTTGGTATCGGCTGGGACTTCTCGGACTCAGCAAGCGGCACCCACCGCTGGTGGAGCACGTCGCATGTGTTGGTCACAAACAATGAACGCAAACGCAGTGCGGGCGTACTTTAGGGCAAAAGGGGGAAGAAACCGGATGTGTGGCGTATCGGGCTCGGATTCATCGCTTTTTTGCAGAGCTGGAGCCATCTCTATCCGTCACTGAGCAAAACCTGGCAGACCAAGTTCGGTACATCCTGCGCTCCAACATATTTGGTGACGCCGAACTCGAACGACTACGACGTGAGGCTGTTCCCTCATCGGATGGAAATGCTACGGCTGGGAATGCGGCGCCACCAATTGCGCAGCAAACTGCAAATGTGGACGCTGCCGTCAATATTCCATTTGTGGTTGAATAGTCCCCCACGAACTAGAGAAAATGAGGAGCATATTGGAAGATTCGATACTGGAAACACTCAGCATGCCTCTTGAAAATCGACCGCGACTTCCCCGCATACCCCTTAGCAAGCGAAATCGGGCTGTCGTGCTGGCTCTTAACCCAATGCTGGTGACCTATTTGGAAGGCAGCCGGGACCTTTGCGAGACGGACTCAATTCTTTTTGGCGCCGCATTGGCAGTATGCCGTATTATTCGCGCCAAACTTCCCACGGCTGGACGTGCTACTCGACAAAGTAGCGCCATCCCAGCCTGAAAAAAGAGAATTGAGGAGTGTATCGCAAAGGCAAGGGCCCTTATCGGCAGACTGACAAGCTTCAGGTCTGGTAATAATAGACCGAGAGTTGTGCGCACCGTTAGAATAGCGTTTCTTGGGACAAATATTAGTTTGTCCCAGCCGGATATCACGCAGAAACTAACAGAGCGCATAGATGACCTGAAGCAAAAAATCGCTGCTTGGGGGAAGCGGATTCGACGATTTAGCGAATGGTCAAGGCGGTTCAACCAGAATCGTCTCTTTCAGAGTGATCAGAAGAGGCTCTATAAATTATTGGAGCGACTAGAGGTATGTGGAGCGGGCCCAGGAACGGATCAGGCTGACACTGTCGCATTTTGGCGTGGCCTGTGGTCAGAACCCGTAAACCACAACGAGGGCCCATGGATGGAAGTTGTGGCGAGCCAGAGTGCGAGTGTTACGCCTATGGACCCCGTCACCATAACGCCAGAAGACGTGGCTGAGGCGGTCCGTAGGGCCCCGAACTGGAAAAGTCCGGGGCTCGACAGACTGCATCATTACTGGCTGAAGGGGTTCGTAGTGTGTCACGCTGTGCTCGCCCGACAGTTCCAAGAGGCTCTTAACCAGAAGTCGCTCCCGAGCCTCTTCACTACTGGGATCACTCATTTGGTTCCTAAAGATCAGGATACCAACGATCCGAGCAAATACCGTCCCATCACGTGTCTACCCACCATATATAAGATACTGACATCCATTTTGAGCGCGAGAATCACTCGTCACCTGGAGTTAAATCAGGTGATGTCACGCGCTCAAAATGGATGTCGGGGCCGTGGTCGTGGAACCAAGGAACCACTCCTAATTGACGCGGTCATTGGCAAAGTGGTGAAACGCAACGTCGGAACTTCTCCGCCGCCTGGATAGACTACAGAAAAGCATTTGACTCATACATGGCTAAAGAGGGTCTTCGAACTGTACAAGATTGAATCTACAGTTAGCGACTTCCTCGAGTAGTGTATGGGGCAATGGAGTATGATCCTCTGTTATCTGAGCGAGCGAATGATGGCAGCGGAGTACCACATAAGGATAAGAAGGGGTATCTTCCAGGGCAATTGTCTGAGTCCAATCTGGTTCTACCTCTCTCTGGACCCTCTCAGTACCTTACTGGAGGGCTCCGAGAGCGGATTCAGCTACGGAATGGAGGAACAAAAGTGAGCCACCTTTTCTATCTGGATGATCTCAAGTTATTCGCCTCCAGTCGCTCCAATCTTATGGAATTGCTAAACATCACTTGTGAATTTAGCAGTTCTATTGGAATGAAGCTGGGGACGGATAAGTGTGCGGTCCTTCATGTTGAAAGGGGAAGGGTTGCTAACTCTGAGGGCATAGATTTATCTATGCCCGTCAACTTAAGGACCCTTTCCGAGGCTGAAATATACCGATACCTGGGTATGTCACAGAACATCGGTATCGATGAGGCTGGTATGAAACAGTCAGTTTGCGACGTGTTTTATGAACGCTTGACCAAAGTGCTTAAAAACCTTTTGTCCGGTGTGAATAACACACAGGTATATAACGGTTGGGTAATGCCTGTCCTCGTGTATACCTTTGGCATAATTATATGGACTCAGACTGAACTTAACGCCCCGGATAGAAAAGTCCGCACTACCATGACGTCCCATAG